TAATGTTTTATTAATTGGTATTAATTAATTTGTAGGATTTTAGAATTAAAAGGTGAAATGGTTGGGTTAGAATTGTTGGAGTATCAATATTTCGATGATATTTTAACTGACATGAAGCTAACACCAGTAAGAATAACATTTATACATGTACTTGTACATATTTTAAGTAATGTAATACCTGAGGACTGAGATATCTGCTTGAGGTGAAGCTGAGGGCAGATATCAAGGGACTCAGGTATTACATTACTGATACTCACCTCCAGACACACACACACACACTGGTCACTGCATAAAGAACACAGTGACTCCCTCTTTCTCTTTTCCTCCCCCCTCTCCCTCCCTCCCTCTCCCCCTCTCCCTCGTTAGTCTGATATAGAGATCCCCATACCACGTTATTTTATAATGGAGAACTACAGGGAGCTCAAAGAAAGAGAGAAGATCCTTGGTACAGTACTAGCTAAAATGGGACCAGCAGAAACAGAAGTACAGTATATTATAGGAATAATAATAAATACACATGTAATTATTTACATGTACACCTTATTGCAGGTTAAAGAAGATATTGATATGACAACTGAAGAAGCTATCAAACTCATACAGGTGAGAGCGTATTGGGATTTGAAATTATAAAGTTATCCATGTGTAGATTCATGAGAGAGCTAGGCAAGGAAGACTAAGAGCAAAGCTGATGAAAGGAATCAGGTACTGCACTACTGTATAAAATATTAATAAAATAAACTATAGATAATACAATATATATTGTAGACAATAATGCATTAAATGAACTGTACTTGTACATGTACACAATACCCATACTGTTATACTGTATACAATATGCACTATGTTGTACATGTACCAATGTATCTACTTATCTATTAAATATCATTAATGTCTTTTTCTCTTACTCTTCTAGAGCTCAGGAGGAGAGAGAGAGAGAAGCACAACTGAGAGGACCTCCTAAGCTAAGCAGAGATGAAGCTGCCACCAGAATACAAAAAGTACTTTAGAGAGAGAGAGAGAGAGAGAGAGAGAGAGAGAGAGAGAGAGAGAGAGAGAGAGGGAGAGAGGGAGAGAGGGAGAGGGAGAGGGAGAGAGAGAGAGAGAGGGAGAGAGAGAGGAATGAGAACTGTACTTGTATACACTGGTAGGTATGGAAAGGATTCTCTCAAAGGAAAAGGATTGTAGACATGAGGAATGAAGAAATGCTCTTCCTTGGAATGGTAGTGCTATTATATGATTCATTTATTATCATTCAGTACATGTACTGTAATGTACATTAACTGCTGCATCATTGCATGTACATCAATACTGTACTGTATAGGTACCTCCTCCTCTGCCTAAGTCTCAGAAACACTCAGTAATAGGACAATCTAAGAAAATAGAGGTATAGCATTTTACTTATTATTTATTTATTTGTTTGTTTATTTATTTATTTTATCCTTTTATTTATTTATTTATTGTTATTTTTCATAGGATAAAAGGAGATTAGCTCAAGAGCAATATGAAAAAGATTATCAAGAAGTAATAACAGACTATACTGTACATGTACTTGTACTCATCTCATCCTATCCTCTCCTCCTCAGGCCCTGATCAGTATCAAGGAGAGACTGATAGAAGCTGAAGGACCTGATATGAAGGAACAAATGCAAGATCAGATCAGGCAATGGTTCATTGAAGTTAGGTCAGTTGACAAATCAATTTTATTACTTTTTCTTGTACATATACATGTACTTATGTTGCTTAGAAAGTTTGAGTTCATTCCGATCAAAATTGGATTTTTTACGAATTTTTAAAGCTGCTGTTGTCATGTATATTTATGTGTGTTATATTTCAGAGATGCTACTGGTAAATTTCCTGACTATCCTGATGAAGATGCCGGGGGTTCAGCAGCCATTTTTAAACAGAGGGAGGAGCCAGATCCTAATGAAGATAACGATGTACATAATTAACTAATGAAATCAATTAATTAATATTATTATTTTATTTATTTGATTTTCCAGGGAGGCAAAAAGAAGAAAGGTAAAAAAGGCAAGAAGGGGAAAGAGAAAGGGAAAAAGGGGAAGAAAGGAAAGAAAGGAAAAAAAGGAAAAGGAGAAGAAGTAATTTATAATAATAATTATTATTATTGAAACTAAAAAATATCATTATTTATAGGAAGAGGAAGGCTTCCAATTGGCACCGTCAAATTTTATCCCCACGATATCCGAGGGGTCCAGTAACTATGTTGACGTATGGATGGGTCGATCTGAAGCTCACAACTTTCAACAGAGACACGACTCTGAGCTAATCAAGGCTCGGAAGAGGTGGGCAGATCATGTGATGGTCATGTGACTTTCATATTAATTTGTAGGGTGGAGATTGAGGCTGAGATTAGAGTCAGGGTTGATGAACTTATGAGAGAAGAATTGAAGAATTTGAAACTAGTAAGAATTAAAGCAATAATAATTTGAATTAATTTTTGAATTTAAATTTTCAATATTTGAATTTAAAATACCTTTAGGCTATTGAGAAGGATAAAGGTAAAGGTAAAAAAGGAGGAAAGAAGGGAAAGAAAGGGAAAAAAGGAAAAAAAGGAAAAGGGAAAAAGAAAAAAGGAGAGAAAGACCTTACACCCGACAGGTAAACAAATTCATTTATCACTAGTTGTTATTATTGTTGTTACTGTTACTTGTTGTTGTTTTTATTTGTTGTTGTTATTATTGTTGCTATTGTTTACAGAACTATTGAAAGTCTTTATGAAGAATTGGCAGGAGAAGGTGTTGTAATGAAATGTCCAAAATATCATCTATCAGATTATATTGGGGACTTTAGGTACAGCAGTATTAAAATAGCATTAGTAGCATTGTTCATATACATGTACATCCCATTCCATTATACAGTGTATGATCCACATTCTCTCTTTGCTCATTCAGTTATTTAGCTACCACACTGCGTCAGATGCCTGCTGATCCTAACAACACAGACAAGAATGCAGAGAAGATTGAGCCAATGCCTTCACTAGCTGAAATTAAGAGAGTCGTAACTGAACACTGTATACTACCACTAGGTAAGGGTATGATACTATTGTATAATGGATGTACATGTAGATACAAAATGTCCTCATTATAAAGGTATCCTTCTAACAAAGGTTTATAAAAAGGTGTCCTAATTTAGAGGCTACACTGTACATGATGTTACATGTGCATTATGCAAAAACGCATGTATTTGCAAAAAATACATGTACATGTATTATGACA